TTCTAATATTTCTCAACTACGCAACCTTTTTATCATGCCGTCTCCGAAAACCATTTTAAAAAAGCGCAATCTACGGAATCGCAATATTAGAATTATCGTCGCTGCAATTGAAGCTTGCGCCGCCGTTTAATATTACAAAAACAATTTCGCAAAAACGCTTCACTTAGTATACTTCCGATCTGATAGGCCTTCAATAAGTAGAAAAGCTTCTTATAAGCCACTTACTACGAATTAAAAATAACTTAAGAGTTACTCGAGAAGGATTTCGATACATTCAAGACCTTTTGATACGCAAAGCTAAACTTCGAAAAACTCGATATAATCATCGTATATTATTTATTGCATTGACAAATAATTAATAATTGTAATAACGAATTTTTTTTCTAAGTCTTAAGTTGCAGTTTGCTAGTTGCGAGCCAAACAGGCCTTAGTCCGTGCAACTTCTACTGTCAAGTTGAGTTGATCCTATTTAGGATCAACTCAACTGCTCAGTTGCACGGACCTGCAACTGCGAGCCAAACACACCCTTACCTTACTGCGAATCAAGTGATATATATATAGTCATGGTAGAATCGTGAATTAATAAGCAAATAATCTTTTTTTCCTTTCAATTACTTGCTAATCTACCCTATACCTATTCAACCACCCCCTCAACAAACCCTTTCAACAATTTGCGCGAGTGAACTTTTGCTGAATCGATCGATTTCGATTATAAAAAATTTAAAGCGTTGATATGCAAGCTATAGCAGCGATGCCGAAAAATATCTTAGCATAGATTTTAATAAATTATTAGTAGATCGATTTTATTTGAAAAATAATGTTTATTTATAATTGTATCTTATTTGAAATAGTTATCGAACTATTTTAAATTTTCAATACGAGCTTATTTATAAGCCTATTTTAAAAATACGAACGGGGACGGCCATAGGACGGCCATAAAACGGTCCTAAGCTCGGGGACGATCAAAAGAGTGAATTATTCTTGATTTGTAACTATTACTGACTTTAAATGGTCTAATAACCGTCTTTTATAAAAGAGGGTTAGAGGACCGCTCAAATGACCCCCTATAGTGGCCTGATACTTACAAGGCCTGATGCAGGGGCAAAAGTAGACCAGGAGGCCAGGGCCAAAATAGATCCGGAACGCCAGCTCCACCACACTATCAGTTGCAAAAACAGATAATCATTCTCCAAAATCAACTCCTAGATTTCCTCAACCAGCTCTTTAATCCAATTCCATATCCGTAATAACAGCTTGCCCACTTCTACTTGCCTGCTCCTCCGACAATCGCCGATAATCATCAACGATAAGCTTGGCAACATTCATTCCCATCAGAGCGTTTGTTTCCATGGTGCTGATGAAGCTCTCCATACCGCCAGTGTAATAGAAATCTCGTGCGAGCTCGAGTTCTTCAAATGTGCTGCGGGGGGACCCGTAAGGGTAGGCTTGCCAGACTTTGTGGTAGTACCACGTGATCGCATCACCACTGTCAGCTTTTACAGTGCTGAGATCATTGGGAACTAGCAGTATTTTAGCAGTGTCTGAGGAGGGAGTGTCGAGGTACTAACGATCTGTACCGAGAAGCCTTGACAGAAAACTGCTGTCTAACTCCTCGCGCGAGAAGACCTTGTATAAATACTCTTCGTCTAATGTGCTGGGATTGACTACTCGGTTAAGCGTGGTGATAGTGAAGAATCCTGGAGATCCGGCACTCTTTGTAGGGTCTGGTACTTCGCCAGGCGGGAGAGTGGTCAGAATCGTGGTGGGGACTGATTCCCCAGGAGCTAGCTTGAAGAACGAAGGGCTCATGGTTCTTTTGCTTGTGAAGAGAGTTACATGGAGGGTCACATAAGGTATTTCGTCAGGTACTCGGTTTAGGAGATCTCTCTCAAATTCGATGTCGGCGTACTGGAAGGGACCCGCAAGAACGACTGTATCGAACGGCTCTTCTTTTTCCAACAGTTCCTGGGTGATCGAGTCCTTGGAGACGATCTTGACGTTGTATTTGCCGTCAGACTTGGAGATGGAACTGATTGTGGTATCGAGAAGTGTGGTAGCGTTCAAAGTTTGCAACATTCTGTCAAAGATCCGCCAATTACCGCCCTGAATTTGATACGTAGTACCAGTAACCATAGAGACGATGGTCTCAAGTCCATGAATTGACGCGACATTTTGGCCATAGTTGATTCGAGTAGAGGCCTGGACAATTTCGGTTGAGAAAGAGGCTCTAATCTAGAGGCTGTCAGCAAGGGGCTCGCTCTTTGTCTGAAAGACTTACGCCATTTGCAGCAATCAGCTGCGCCCCAGTTTGAGAGCTAACGGATGCCAGATCAAGTTCACGAGCTCTATCAGAGAGCGATCGAAATGGGAAGAACGGACCTTCGTACAGCTTCTTAAATCGACCAACTACGCTCTGCACCAGACGATCAATTCGCATTGGGTCTAGTCCATATTTCCAGAAGAGTTTTGCCACGTCCCAGAATTGCATGCCAGTGTTTTGAGTGTAGACGAATGAATTCCCATTCCAGATTCCAACCGATTCTTGAAAATTAGCATCACCACGTTGAGTTAAACCGAACAAAGCAGTAGCATTCATCAAGATCGTGTTGATATCGACGAAAATGCTTGCTCCAACTTCAACAGACTCTAGTGAGTTACCGTAGGCGTTCACGGTAGTTGTGCGACCTCCTACATAGGAATTACGCTCAAATACGGTTATGTTGAGCTCCATGTTGGACTGCTGGGCAAATCTCTCCAAGTAGTAAGCGGTAGAACTTCCAGCGGCTCCGGCTCCTGCATACGCCAATCAGCGATTTATGATGAGAACAAATGGACTCCAAATCATTGAAAATTTAAGGAACTACCTTATCTCAGAGTGAACAATATCTGCAACGATAAGACGCGACGAATAGGGGAACTACTCAACATACCAATAATCGCAATTCTTTTGAGACTGTCATCTGCATAGCTTTGACAGCAAAAAAAGGCAATAAGGAGCGTCAGCAATAAGTTCCGTTCTGCGAACATTGCGAACATTTTGAAGATGATGTTGAGAGAAGGTCGTGTGAATTTGGTGGATGTCGAACGACTATATATATATGTCGTTGAAACTCGGACATCCTCTGCATCCTCCCATCATTCCGCCCTTGCAGCCTTGCAGCCTCGCCAATTCTTAATAATAGGACCTGACGTTGCAAATTTAGGGGCACTTCCCTACTGTAAAGTGGGCGAAGCAATTATAACCCGCGGAAAAATTGTGTCTCGTGTCGCATAAAGGAAGGAAGAAATCAAATTTGTTTTTTAATTAAATTGTTGATTTTATTACTTTATAAATATGTATAAACAAACTTTATTATTTTATTAATTTATTATTAGATCTTAATCAAGCTAAAATCAATTAATTGTACCTCACGTCTTTTAAATCAAATTATACGGCTGACTCCGGTCCGGCCTCGATACAAGTCAGTCGTCTTGCGACTTGAGCGTAGCTATGCAATTACGATGGCCACGGCAGCTTGCACCTGCCTTATTCTCTTTTTGGTTACCTTTCCTCTAACGAGAGATTCTCTTCTCACTGTGATCCATCCTATCTGTAAGGGAAGGGCGCAGATGATAGTAGCTTCCTTAAAGGGGAATGCAAGAGCATTTAAACGGTCAGCTGATCGTCTAATAACCATCTCTTTTAAGGACGATTTTAATAAGTTGGCATGGCTGGTGGATCACCTTAAGCTTATACTTAGGATTGAATAGAATTTGAAAACAAACGATTTAAATTATTTAAATCGTAGCTAAAATAAAACTATTTTTTTCGATTAAATCGTTTTTTTTAAATACTCGTCTTTTCGTATAAAAACCGTCTTAGGACCGTCTTCGAGCGTTTTAAGACCGTCCTATAGCCGTCCCTTGGCCGTCCTATAGCCGTCCTTGAGCTTAAAACCGTCCTTGAGAACGTGAGTTAGTAAGCAAATAATCTTTTTACTGCTTGCTGGTCTATTCTTTATTACTGGTACCTGAACCCTTCATACCATTACACCCCTATCTTATAGATGCCGCAAGGGCGGCCGTCGTACGCGGGTAAACTTTTGCTAAATCGATCAATTTCGATTATAAAAAAATTAAAGCGTTGATATACAAGCCGTAGCAGCGATACCGAAAAATATCTTGGCGTCGAACCTCTTAAATTATTATTAAAATAATTTTATTTAACAGATAATTTTTATTTATAAATAATCGTCGGTTACTTTAAATTTAATTTGTAAAAAATCCCGACCTGGCGCAGCCAGGTCGGCATCACCAAGGCGGGACAGTAACGGTATACCATTTATTAAACAACAACTATTATTATAAAAAGTTATAAGAAATCATTATACGCTTAAAAAATTTTGCTTTACAAACGTAAATTAAAATTATAAAAATCCATTTATTTATGGTAATCTAATACATTGAAATATAATGAAAAAATGATCAAAAACTGTCCTAAATAATTCAAATTTACTTGTTTATTGCAAATATCTCAATAACCACAACCTTAATTCAAAAAAACGTTATATAGATCGAAAATAAATGATTTAATATATCATATTGCTAAGTGTATTAATTATTAAATCAAAGTTAGTAGTGATGCACGTATTTTTTTGATAGATTTGAATAAAAGTCCGATTTTCGTGTTCCTCGCTTATTCTAATATATACGCGGCAATTCTGATATATACGCATTACTAAAATTGAAAAGTATATATCAAAAGTATTATTTTTATTACTTTAACTCAATGTAATAAAGAAATAACAACTTGTAATTAAAATTCAATCAATTGATTAGTATTAAACTAAATACTGCACATCTTTTAATACACAAATAATTAATCTATAATAGTTGGTTGATTTTTTATTTATTAAAAAGGAGCAAATTTTACTGTCCCGCCTTGGTAGGTGTCCCGCCTTAGTAGTGCCGACTTGCTAAGTATAGCAAGTCGGTCAATTCTTTCGAATTAAAATATAAGGAAACCGACGATTATATCTTTTTTAAAATGGTTATCGAACTATTTCAATTTTTTTAAAACGAGCTTATTAATAAGCCTATTTTAAAAATATAAACGGGGACGGCTATAGGACGGCTACAAAATGGTCTCTTTCAATAGGACGGTCTTTTCGATAAACTATTCTTGAAAAGAGCTTAGTATTGAATTTAAGCGGTCCAATAGCCGTCTTTTATAAAGGAGGATCAGAGGACCATTTACGTAGTACGTAGTAGTAGTACCGGTAAATGACCCCCTACCACCCTTTAAGGTTTTGCTACACCACTTTGAACTGCTTTCTGGGGCTGTCTTGTATGTAACTCCTTAGCTTAGCACGTCGCCACTATGGGGAGTCCCAGGGCGGCAGGCTACGCCTGGTACCCGCCCGACGTGAATAAATACTGTTACGGCTGAGGAAAGATAGTATATTGTGGTAGCTACTTGGTACCAATGGAATTGATTACAAGTAAACCGTCATCAGGCTACTTACTACCCCCCCCCATGAATAAAATGTCGGACCCAGTTTAGGCCTATAAATCATAGAGCGGTAGTTTCTTAACGGCTCAAAGCCCTGTCGACTCCACTGTATAGACTACTTAAATACAGTACTGGCTCAAAGATACCATAAAGGGTAGTAGGGGGTCATTTGAACGGTCCTCTGATCCTCTTTTATAAGAGACGGCTATTGGACCGCTTAAATTCAGTACTAAGCTCTTTTCAAAGATAGTTTACCGAGAAGACCGTCCCATTGAAAGGGACCGTTTTGTGGCCGTCCCATAGCCGTCCCCGTTTATATTTTTAAAACAGGCTTATTAATAAGCTCGTTTTAAAAAATTGAAATAGTTCGATAACCATTTTAAAGAAGATGTAGTTATAGATAAAAATTATCTTTTAAATAAGATTGTTTTAATAATAATTTAAAAAGTTCAACGCCAAGATATTTCTCGGTATCGCTGCTACGGCTTGTATATCAACGCTTTAATTTTTTTACAATCGAAATCGATCGATTTAACCAAAGTTTACCCGCGTACGACGGCCACTTGCTCAGCCCTTAAAACGAAGGGGTGGAGTAGAAGATTAGGAGGGGGGGGGGAGGGGATAGGGGGTGTAGTAAGTGGATGAGGTAGTAAAGGGTAGACTAGCAAGCAATAAAAAGATTATTTGCTTACTAATTCACGTTCTCAAGGACGGTTTTAAGCTCAGGGACGGCCATAGAACGGCCATAGGACGGCTATAGGACGGCCATAGGACGGTCTTAAACGCTCGAAGACGGTCCTAAGACGGTTTTTATACAAAAAGACGAGTATTTAAGAAAAACGATTTAATTGAATAAAATAGTTTTATTTTAGCTACGATTTAAATAATTTAAATCGTTTGTTTTCAGATTCTATTCAATCTTAAGTATAGGCCTAGGGTGATCCACCAGCTATGCCAACTTATTAAAATCGTCCTTAAAAGAGATAGTTATCGGACGATTAGCTGACCGTCTAAATGCTCCTGCATTCCCCTTTAAGGTACTTTTCAAGGCTGAATCCTTACGTACTACGTATAAGTTGATTGGTTTAAGCCTTAGTAAGATCCTGTGCGAAATTATACTTTCGACATGTATTCATAGCTTAAACCAATCAACTCATAAGGATTCGGCTTTGAAAAGTATCTTTGAGCCAGTATTTAGCCTATACAGTGGAGTTGACAGGGCTTTGAGCCATTAAGAAACCACAGCTCTATGATTTATGGGCCTAAACTGGGTCCGACATTTATTCATGGGGGGGGGAGAGTAGGGGGGGAAAGTATGAGGCAGAAACAGGCATACACGCATAACACAGCCTCTTTCGCTACCGTATTTCTCCCGCCACCTTTTCCGCCATCTCTCTCGCCACTTCTCCCGCTACCACATCTTTCGCTACCTTTTTAGCTACCTTCTCCGCTACCTTAAAGGCAGGTAGGGGGTTATTTTAACCGTCAGCTGACAATCCGATAACGGTTTCTCTAAAAAACGATTCCAAGAGGTTGGCATAGCTAGTGGATCACCTTAGGCCGATACTTAAGATTGAGCAGAATCTGAAAACAAACGATTTAAATTATTTAAATCGTAGCTAAAAAAAAAAGTATTTCAATCGATTAAATCGTTTTTTGTAAAAGCTCGTCTTTTCGTTAAAAGATTATTATTAAAATAAGATTATTTTAATCGATTAAATAGTCGTTTATAAAAGTCGGTCTTTTTACGAAAAGACCGTTTTAAGACCGTCCTGTGGCCGTCCTGTGGCCGTCCTAAGGCCGTCCTTGAACTTGAAACCTTTCTGGAAAACGTTGATTAATAAGCATTTTTTTTTTTCAATTAATTAGCAGTCTACCCATTACTAGATAGACCGCCCCCTTACTACACCACCCCCCCGGTGAGCGACAGAGGCGCATCTAAGCGAATGAACTTTTATTGAATCGATCGATTCCGATTATTAAAAATTTAAAGCGTTGATATATAAGCCGTAGCAGCGATACCGAGAAATATCTTGGCATCGAATCTATTAAATTATTATTAAAACGATTTTATTTAAAAAAATGATTTTTATTTATAATTATATTCTCTTTAGAATAATTATCGAACTATTTCAATTCTTTAAAACGAGCTTATTAGTAAGCCTGTTTTCAAAATATAAACGGGGACGGCCATAAGACGGCTATAAAACGGTCTCTTTCAATAGGACGGTCTTTTCGGCAAACTATTATTGAAAAGAGCTTAGTACTGAATTTAAGCGGTCTAATAACCGTCTTTTATAAAAGAGGGTCAGAGGACCGCTCAAATGACCCCCTACCTGCTATTAAGGTACTTATAAAAGCCGAGCTTTTATCGTTTGACTTAAAGCAAGTTTAACGAAATAAAGACGATTTTTAGCCTTTATATAATATCGAGCACGTGCGCCCAATTTTTTTACGTCACTTTTATTTTTTTCATTCAGTTTAGCTGATTATGAGCTATTTTGGCCCTTAATCGATAACGTTTATTGTTGTTATTGTTGTATTT